TTTTTTTTGTGAGCTCTGCCCTTTGTCAGGATATCATGCCCTCTCAGAGCACTTACCCCTATCAGGGCCTATCTTCAGGAAACAGATGGGGTCGGAGGCCATTCCCTTGCCCCTCCAAACTGCTGAAAGCGGCACATTGAGAGCCCACCTCCACACCGTGGCCCTCCCGGAAACCTCCCACCCCTGGCAAGGCGCCCACTCTGCACGCACATCTCACTCAAGGAGCGAACCTTGCCTTATTTACTTGCTTTATCCCTCATCCATATCTCAGTGTTTTCTTTCTCTGTGGTTTCAGGGAGGATGAGTGACTCAGTGCGATGCCCTCCTCCACAGAGGGGGCGGATCTGCCCGATCTCATAGTGCCTCCCAGGGTACACGAGAAGAAGACAGTGCAAGAAGAATGACCTCAGCCAATGCCTCACAGTCAAACATATTGGCTCCGAGACAATAGTATAAAACAAACAAATAAATGGGACTGAATACAAGGCTAAATGATATTCTGCTGTCTTAAATGAGGAAGGCTTTGCCTCGAGATATTACTCAGCTGTCAGGACAACTTCGTTTCATTTTTGATCTTTGTTTACATGATGTATATCATTTTGTTAGTGCCTTATTCAGATAACACACATAAATAATATAATGTCTATGGGGGATGTGGGAGTGGCAAGCATTACTTAAATGAGCAAAAAAAAGATATTTACGGGATTTAAGTGGTTATTAGTAAAATTAAAAGTTATTGCAAACAATAAAGTTAAATATGACCCAAGTAAAGACAATAAATAGTATTTGTGTTCTACTTTGGAAAAGTCACCCTAAAAATGAACGTTTTGTAAAAAAATTCTGTATCAAAATTACCTAAATGAACAAACTGACAACATGCTTAAACTTTCTGAAAATTATTTCTGCATCTTTTTCCCCTTAATAATAATAATAATAATAATAATAATAATAATAATAATAATAATAATAAATATATTTTAAAATCAATAATAAAAAAAAATACCTGTGGAACACTAAATGAGTTTAAAAGAAACACTGATAAAACTGATTCTCAAGTCAGTCTGGACAAAGTTCTTTAAGGAAAAAGATAAAAGAAAGGTTGGATTTCTACAAGAACAAGTGTGCATTCGATTTTCTACAGCCTTATGCATTGTTCTTCTTTCACATGTGCTGATTAAAAACATGGTTCGGTCACCGGCAGCTTGATTTAATTGTTGGCTCAAAATGAACTTTTATTGACATTTTTTATCCAAAGAGCTAAGGTCAAACGATCTGCAAGCATCAGAATTATCAAGTATTGCTCTGAACAAAACTCATCTTTTGTTATCATCAGATTGATCATTTAATCATTGGAAACTTGGTAAAGAATGGAGTTAAAACAATAGACTGTGTGTGGATTTGAACACCTCCACACTCATGCAGGCTCTGTGGTCCGCCTCCTCAGTAACAATAGCCACTGGCCACTTTAACAAAAGATTAGGTGAGAAAAATATGAAGTAGTGTGTTTTTCATTGTGAATTTGAATCAACATTTCAAATGGCGATCTTTTAACTTTAATCATTCTATTTACGTTTGTGTGAACTAAACTTTGAAATATTTATTGTAAAGTGTAAATTAGTCCAACACTGGAAAAGTGTCTAATCATCTTGCCAATTTCAGAGTCACTTAAATATTTATCTTGTTGCATCAATCAGGAAATATTAGATCTAAAAAAAATTTTTTTTTTTTTTTTCAGGTTGGAAATGTATTATTCATTCATTCATTCATTCATTCATTCATTCATTCATTCATTCATTCATTCATTCATTCAACCTTTATTTAGACAGATAAATCACACTGAGCCTCAAAGACTCATTTACAAGTGAGATCTGTTTAGACAGACAAAAAGTAGTGAAACTGGGCACATATAGGAATTAGAAATGGCAATAAACAAACCCAAAACAAAGTAAATTGCCAAACTTAAGAGAATGTTGCAAATGAACATTTGATGGAGTTGAATGTATCTAAGAACAAGATTAGTAATGTAACTTAATTACATTTTTGGCCTCAATGACTTAAAATACCTGGAGTCAAAAAGTTTTGGTTTTAGCACAAAAACATCTTTCCCAGCTGGTAAGCACAGGGGTGGACTGATCATGATCTGGGCCTGTGTTACAGTAGTGAAAATGGAAATACCAAAAACAGTACAACTATGTGTGCTTGAATGTGATCAAATGGGGTGGGGGCAAAGACATTATACTGGTGTGACACGTTGGTGTAACGACTACTGCATCCCGCTTTCACATAGTAGACACGAGATGAATCTTTGTAAAGGACAATTGTTCTTTTTTCAACTTTTTTGAACTTGTTGATATCTTACACTCCTAATTAGCTGGAAATATTCAAAATTGTAACTCTATTAAGTTTGATTTGTTGTAAAAAAACAAAAATCATGGTAAGGTTCTAACACTTTAAAAAAAAAAACAGCTTTTGTTTATGTCGCCACAGCTGGATGCTGTCTGTAAGCTAGCTAGCTAGTACCAGTGTTCTGATTTGGTCTGAAATAAGAGAAGGGTGCAGAATGCAAATTTATTTTCAATATACTTTTTTTGTTATTGCCGGTGACTAAGTCAAAGCAGAATCATTAAACACATTGTATTGCTGGGAAATATAACATATTTAATTTAAAAAATGGTGGAGTGAAAACAAGTTTGCAACCCCCCCACCACCACCACCACTTTAAGAAATGGAGAAGCAGCTACTCCACCTGCTCCATTGGTTTTACACTTATGAGTAAAAGAGTGTATCAACCAACCCATGCAGATATAAAAATTAAAAGAAAAAAAAAATACTGACAACAAACAATAAAGTGGTGAATGCAATTTTTTGAAAATCACTACATCTTTCTGACCAAAAAAAAGAGCAATGTATACCAGATAAGCACAAACACACACACATTTGTTGCATGACTACAAAAATGGTTCTGATTATAGAGGGTGCCAAAAATTTTGCTCTTGAATTGGTTGGGCTACTGTACAATAAAATATATATAAAAAATAAATACATAAATAAACAAATGATTTAAAAAAACAAAAAATATGGTGCAGACTTTAATTTTTTGTGGGTAATTGTTCTCTTGCCTTAAAGAAAGGAATAAATAAAATGTATTGACATATTACAAACTCTGACTCTCACTTGAGCCCCCTTTCTAAAGACATAATGTTTGTCTAATATGAGACATATCTGTACATTAGTGACTGAAATGTTTGTAAAAGCACAGCACTGAAGATGTGCTTTTACATCAAATGATGTAAATAGCTTTCTAGATAGCTATATATACACATTAAATATATATATATAATTTTTTTTCCATTTAACTCACACAGAATTTTTTTATGTATCTTCGTGAGCACCAGTGCACACAAACACTCTCTTACATACACACAAAATACAAAAAGTGTGCACACATGGCATGCACATGTATAGTGGAGCAATGGCTGAAACAAGTGTGTGAACAACTGTAGATGAAAGAATGTTCCTTCTCGGGGGAGCACCAGAGGAAAAAGAAAGACAGACACTTGGTTTTATTTTTTTCTTCTTCACCCAGACAAGAAATACCCAGGCCTCGGCAGCAGCCTGAGTAAATAAAAGAGCGGGCCTTACTTCCCTGTCT